AGCACTGTCTGACGCGTCTGCCTCCGCGACCCGAAAGGAGAAGCGGCGATGGAAGATGAAGATGAAGAGTCAACCTACACCGGTGATTTTTTATGTAGGAGAAATTTAACTGTATAGTTAAGAGTTGATTTGTATTTAATAATGATGTTCAATCGTGTCGTAATTTTACCAACAGACGTAATGGCCTCTATTAAATAAAAGCGATTGAGGAAGCGAAACAGGAAGTTAAAATCGTGGGCCGTTTACATTGTTCTTCTTCCTGTTCATAACTGTATTATGGAAATGGGAATAAAACTCATTCCGGAAACATATCCTTCTTGATCATGGGAGATGAAGAGATTCGGCTGCCCTCCATAGCAAAATTGAACATAGTCAAAAAACTACTTACGCAATGAAATGCCAGAATAATTATAAAAAAAATAGTCCAGTTGAAAGCGGAAGATTTTAGAAGCAGTAATGGCAGTACTGTACATTGTGAGATGAACATTTGGGAAGAAACTTTTGATTGCCTTGCTTCATCTTAGTATGTATCAGTAAGCATTCGATGTTTTTTGGGTTTGCGTATTTTCTAGTTTGCAGTTTTTGGTAACGGTAATGTAATTTACTTTTCTGTTTTGTTCTGTACTAAGTTATTGTCCACAATACCGTATAATTATACATACTACGAGGTAAGAAATATTTACGCTAGATGCGGTACATCTGACAGGAGGCTTGCTACTTTGATATGCAAGACAGGTTGCGCACTCCTATTTCATTATTTTGAGTTATTTAATGTAATAATTTGCTAATGTGTTGATTTAGATTTTATACTTTTTTACGGATTTCGATTTCAAACCCGTGCTTTGATTCGCTGAAAGCTACCGGTAGAGGAACATTTCTTCCTTCAGACCAAACCTAACTTTGTACTTTATCATTATTATTAGTTTACTTAGTAGAAAATTTTTTTACCACCACAATATATTTTTCTCTCCAGAAATGGCGAAATGGCCTGCTGGCCGTTACGTGTTTTCGAATTTTGATATGTATTAAGATGTCTCTGATAAAAAGTCACATTAAAATATTTTGTTACCCGCTGCTAGTATGGACAGGTCACTCAGCCGAATACATTTTTTCCAGCAGATAGTATGATATGCGAGGAGAAAGGAAAATGAAAGATCGTTCAGTAGTTATTTGAAACAGGCGACCAAAAACATTGTGTGCGTAAAGTTAAACTGTAAAAGAAATATTGTTGAATTATTTATAGGTTCTCTCCAATTGCGATTCCTACTGTCTGATTTTTACGTTGCTTACCAACTTTCTTGATCCTAGGCACCGGAAATTGCCTGTTGGTGCCCCCTTCTCCTAGCAAAACGATGTGTGATTGCTGGCGATAACAAGCAGCTGGGACCAACCGTTGTCTCTGACATGTAACTATTCAGCTGTTTTTGGCTAATTAAGTTCATATCTTGTTTTACTGGTTTTAAGAGCAGTTTCGAAAGGCTTTGGTGGTAGCTTGATGGACCGACTGATGAAGCAGTTCGACCCATCGAACTTTGTCAAATTGCTTACTCTTCAGTACCGAATGCATGAAACCATTATGAACTGGTCTTCAAATGCCTTCTACGATGGAAAGCTAGTCGCGTACAAATCAAACCGACAGCATTTGCTAAGGTGATACTGATGTCAATATAATTGATATTTTGCTCATTTGGGATTAAAATTTGTTTTCCTAGTGATTTGCCGGACGTGCTTGATTATCCAGAATTGGATGCGCCAATGTGGTTCATTAATACGGCAGATTGTGACATGTGCGAAACAGAATCTGGGGAAGATTCTTCAAAGGCGAACGCGGGTGCTTATTTTTTTCATATCATCAAAGATATCCATGCTTTGCACTTCTTTTCTGCTTATGCATTTTAGTGCGCAGATTACTGAGTTTTCGGGTTAAGTCTTGGTTGACTTTTCGTCGAGATACAACCGTAGAATGTGGCCAAAGTTAGCTCAGGCTCACAGGCAAAGGGGGGGTGGTGGTGCAGAAAATGAACCGAAGCTGACACTTAAAATCCTGG